CCTCCCTTTCCCGCTGCCCCATCAACTGACAATTTCCATGCTTCGCCGCGCCTGTGTTCTCCGTCTAGGGTAAAGCCTTCGACAATGAAATCCGCCAGGACTTGGGCTTTCACTGCCGGTCGGGGGGCGTAGGATATATCATGCTCGGTCAGCTCGACCGCCCACTTAGTCATCCGTCCTGAGGCATCCATCCCATGCAGTATTTTCTTGAGAGGGAGATTCGAGAGGACCGTGATGGGGTGACCTTGGAAATACGGTCGTAGTTTCCTGGCGGTCATGGCGACGGCAAGGACCGCCTTCTCAACCACTAGGTACCTGGTTTCGGCTGGGAGCAACGCCTTGCTGACATAGTAAACGGGGAGGTCTTTGCCATCCTCGGACCTCCTCACGAGCACTGAACTCACGGCTTGATGCGAAACTGCCAAATATAGAAAAAGACGCTCTCCGAATACCGGGGCACTGAGTACTGGTGGAGCCACCAGCTGCTCTTTGAGGCATAGAAAAGCCTCGTTGCATTCCTCACTCCACTTAAATCGGGTTGCCGATTTCTTGAGTATTTGAAAGAATGGGGAGCATTTGTCCGCTGACCGGGGTATGAACCGACTCAGTGCCGCCATCTTCCCATTAGACGCTTGTATTTCCTTGATTGTCTTTGGGGCCTTGAGCTGCAAGATGGCGTCAATCTGCCATGGGTTAGCCTCAATTCCCCGCTTTGTAATCAGGAAACTCAAAAATTTACCCGCTTCTGCCCCGAACACACATTTGGTGGGATTCAGACGTAATCCGTGCTCCCTCATATTTGTGAATGTTTCCCTCAGATCTTGTAGGTGTGATCCCACCTCCTTGCTTTTTACCAATACATCATCAACGTACGCCTCTACATTTCGCCCGATCTGTTGGCGTAGCACCGCATCCACCATCCTTTGGTATGTCGCCCCCGCATTCTTTAGGCCAAAGGGCATGACCACCCAACAGTAGTTTCCTGTGGCCGTCATGAAAGCGGTCTTTTCTTGGTCCTCTTCTGCTAGGCTTATCTGGTGGTAGCCTGAGAACATGTCCAGGAAACTTAACATGGCATGGTTTGCCGTGGCGTCTATGAGTTGGTCGATTCGTGGGAGCGGGTATGCGTCCTTGGGACAGGCGCTGTTGAGACTTGTAAAGTCTATGCACATACGCCACAAGCCCGAGCTCTTTTTGACGAACACTGGGTTGGCCAGCCAGGTGGGATATCGCACTTCCCGGATGAATCCCGCTTTGAGTAGCTTCTGTATCTCTTCCTCCAACGCCATTTGCTTTTCGACGGATATGTTCCTCCGTTTTTGCTTCACTGGGCGGGTATTCGGTTTCACTGCCAGGTGGTGCTCCGCAAGCTTGCGCGGTACGCCCGGCATGTCTTTCGGTCCCCAAGCAAAGAGATCGGAGAACTCTCGGAGGAGGCCGACCAGGCTCGCCGCCAGGTCAGGTTGAAGGTGTGCCGATATGCGCACCGTTTTTTCTGGTTCCTCCACTCGCAATGGTACCGCCACATCTCCCTCTAACGCTTCCGGTATGGGGTTGTTGCCCCTTGTATCCACCAAATCTACCTCCAGTTGTTTAACCGTTGCTTGGTAGCATTCCCGGGCTTGTTGCGTGTTTCCTTTGACACAGCCGACACCCTTTCCCACTGTAAACTTCAACCTCTGATGACAGGTAGATGCCACAGCTCCGAAGATTGAAAGAAAGCTTCGTCCCAAGATGGCGTTGTACGCCGAGGGGCAATCCGCCACGTAAAACTCCATGGGTTTGGTTTTGGTCACGTTCCCTTCTCCGATTGTGACGCGTAAGGTGACCATGCCTAGCACTTTTATTTTTGATCCCGAAAACCCCACCAGCTGTGTTGAGGATGGTTTGAGGTCTTCGACCCCTTTTTTCATGCTCTTCAAGGTAGAGAAGAAAAGGATGTCCGCCGAGCTTCCGTTGTCAATGAGTGTTTTCGTTACTTTGTACTTCCCTGTGCGAAACGATATGACCAGAGGATCCTCTGCCGCCTCCGGGCTGGCCAGCTCCGCTGCCTCGAACACAACCTCGGCAGTTGAGGCGGAGAAAACGGTCAGGCACGCTTCCCCGTGGTTCGCAACCCGGGGCCGCTTTCTTCCTCTGGCGATAGTAATAATTTCCAGATCGTCATCATCGAGGCGTGGCTGTCTCCTTGGTGGAGGTGCGTTGGGTGGCGACGGGAGTCTCTCTCTTCCTCCCCTGTCGCGGGACCTCGACCTTCGGGGTGTTCTGGATCTCCTTGCTCTCGATCTTGACCGTGGTCTTCTGGGGGATCTGCTCCGGTATCGCTTGAGCGACGGTGACCTAACTTCACGCTCCTGCCTCTTTGCTTCCAATCTGCTCCTTAGATCTCCAGGGGCGAGGTTGGCGATGCTCATTTGGAAATCTCGGCAGTCCACAGTGTTATGCGAGGTCTTTTGATGCCAGTCGCACCACCTTCGGATCACCGGGGCTTCAGGACGCCTTTGAGCATCACGGCGGGGTCCCTCCTCTCTAGTCTTGCGCGGGTGAGCGTCCTCTCTCTCCCTTTCGGCGGTGTAGACTTCCCTTTTATTTTCCCCTGCTCGTGCTTTTCCCTTGTGGTGTCGCTCTGGAGACCGCCCTTTCCGAAATGGAGATCTGTTCCCCCTTTCTCCCTGACATTCTTCCCCCTCGATCCGCAGACACCAACGCTTCCTCTAATGTTATCACTCTACGCACCAGGTTGTCCAGGTCGGGCCAAGTTTTTATGTCTTGCTCCTTTTTTATCAATGCTCGTTGGAGCTCCTTGCTCTTGGATGCCATCCTTAGGCTTCCCGCCGCCACATTAGGGGTCACGCCCTGAATTTCACTGGCGATCGTGTTCCATCGATCGTAGAAGGCTGTCAGGCTCTCGCCCTCCCCCTGCGTGCAGTTTATTAGTGCGGTGACGGTGAGACGCCTGCGAATCTGGGAGGCAAACTTCGATGTGAATAGAGTTGCGAACTGCTCGAAATTGTCTATGATCCCTTCGGGGAGAGACGTGTACCACGTGCGACACCGCCCCCCAAAGGTTATGGGAAAGGCCTTGCAAAGGTCCGCGTCCGAGGCGTTTATAAGCTGCATCTTTAGCGTGAAGGCACTTAGATGGTCGTTTGGGTCGGTGTCCCCATTGTAAGCCGGAAGACCTAGTGATGAAAAGTTTGGGGGAACCGGATTCCGGAATAACTTCTTTGAGAGTGGATTGTGTAGGATGCTCGGCCCCTTCGTCTTCCCGCTTCCCTTCCCAAAGCTTGCCTGTAGGTGCTCTTCCAGGAAACTTAAGTCGGTTTCCGGCCTTTCTTCGTCAGTTTCTTCTTCCTCCTCCGACTCAACTTCTACTATCTTCTTCTTTCCTCTGTCCCCCGGTGTGGAGGATGGGCCCGGGGTATCTGGGCGCCTTATTCCTTCCTTGATCAACGATAGGATCTGACTTATACTGCTCCGCATTTGCGTGATCTGCTCCCCTTGACTTTTCACCCTATCTTCCAGCTCTACTTCCTCTTCGACTCTGGGAGACAAACCACACATCGTTATTGGCTCGACAACTTCCTTCATTGGGGTGATGGAGTCACCCGACATTTCAAGGAGAACGATACTCTCTTCCGGCCCCACGGTGGGCGCCAAATTGTTTACGCCTAGAATGTGCCAGGCGGGAAAGTGAAGACCCTTGGAGAATACTGTTGTTCCTTGATACGTGGGTGCTGCGTTCACTGCACAAAAGGTCCGGGGCGTGGCCCGCGAACACTCTCCGACGATCAAGTTAGTAATATAGAGAGAGAAAGTAGTTTTAGAGAGAGAGTATCTAGAATCAGTTACCATTTAATGAGGTGGTTGGCTGCTATTTATAGTCCGAGGTGGTTGGTGTAAGTGTCTTGTCAGTCGTGCGTTTTCCCGCCCCCATGACACACGCTTGCGGCGGCATTTAATGAAGTGTCAGTGATGGCATGATTGGTATGGATCCTTCCTTACTTGTCGTACTCACCCGCCTCCTACTGGCATGACCGGTAACGCCTTTTTACCCGGTCCCTTCGTCCCTTGGGCCGGCCCATTCCTTGACTTACCTCCCTTGGGTTTTTCCCCTTCTGGGCCGTCTCTGGTTGTGTGGGCCTTGCTTTAGGCAGCGATCCCCTATGGCCCAACAGTATCTAAATAATTTTATAAAGTTAGAATAATATATACATCACCATGGGATGGAGAGTTCTGCGATACTCAGGGTGAAATCCGGGATATCGCATACATTGAGTAAGAAAACGATATCCAGAACTTGAATTGACTGATCTTCCGGACATGATACTATACTCTAACCCTTAAATATCAAAATCTAGGTCCTAATTCTCTAATTTTTATACCCCAAGATCAATTTAATTAGAAACAATAATCGACGGTTATGATTCGTCCAAATATAGGTATAAAAATTAATGCACCATGTTAGGGTTTATAGTTTAAGATTTAGATAATTAGGACCTAGGGTTCGCTCATTAAGGGTTAAGGTATAGTATCATGCCCAAAAATCCTGCTAATTCGATATCTAGATAGTGTTTTCATACTCAAGATATGCGGTACCCCGGATTTTACCCGAGGTACCGTAGAAGGCACCCACCATATATATATATATATATATATATGCCTACATTTTAAGTGCAAGACAAATATTACAAGTGGTAGAGAAGCTGACGAGTCAATAATATGCCAACATATTAAAAAACAATTATTGATCACTCCATACGACCATACTACATATATGGGATTGCGTAGAATAATGACTAAATAATACGAGTAAATTATCGTAATACAACAATAGTAATCACTAATCAATTATTAAAAAAGAAGTTATAGGAATTCCAACTCAAAACGTTACTTAAAGAGTTGGGAGCTAAATCATCCTAATCCAAAGCTGTAGTTGTACAGTAGCTGCCTGCGACTAACCAGTCTTTCTTAATTACTTTATTTCCAAGTGAAATAATTCTTTCTTTGATTAAGAAAAAAATCATTATTTCACTAGGATCCAATCCAGTGAAGGTCTGATGCGGCTTTGCTATGCCCACTTGGCCGGCCGACGAAAGTCGATCTTTCAGTTCACCATGGTGGTGTTTGCTTGCTGCTCTTTGGTTTACGTCGCTGTTCAATGGTGTGATTGGTTCCTTCCTTCCCCAGTTGTTGACCACTGGGTTAGGTCTCCTTTTCTCGATAAGTTTAAGGAATGGAATGATTTCTTCCCCGTTGTTGGGTCGTTGGGATTATAATAAAATAAGACCCCGAGATGATCTGCACAAACGAGTTGTAATAGTTTAAGACCGATGACTCCATTCTTCGCCAATGTATATTTGCTTATTTGTCAATGGCCACAGCTTTCTGATCAGTCACTCATCGGAACAAAGTCATGGAAATGCTTTTGATTCTTGTTGTGGCGTTGAGCTGCTGTGTCCTGGTCCATGGCCATGAAGCCATAGGCTTCTGCTACCCAGAATTTGGGAGTTCAGAATGTGGCGTTTCGGAACAGTTGCAGCAGCAGCAGAAGCTGGATCGAGAGCAGCAGCCGCATCTGCCTTCTTTCCACTTCCGGCCTCCCCAAAACTGGCTCAATGGTAAAAACCCTTTGACCGTGGTTGCTTTTTCCTCTTTTCTTCTACTTTGTCAATTGGCTCTCTCTTACAAAGTTCTGATCTTTTTTGCTTTCAAACAATCGCCGTCTAATTTGGTGCTGTGCTGGATTAATGGGTTTCTCTTACTCTGTAGATCCTAATGGTAAGTCCAGTAAATTCCCTTTCTTTGATGTTGTTTGTTTGTTTGTTTGAACTGCTCTATTCAATGATGCATTTGCTTATGGTTCTGTTGCTACAGGTCCAATGTGGTACAATGGGGTGTACCACTTGTTCTATCAGTACAACCCAGAAGGTCCAGTGTTTGGTGACAAGATGGTATGGGCACATTCAGTTTCCCATGACATGATCCACTGGGTTGACCTCGATCTTGCCCTCTCCCCAAACGAGCAATTCGACATGAAGAGCTGCTGGTCCGGTTCGATCACGATTCTTCCAGGGAACGTACCAGTGATTCTGTACACTGGCATTGATTCCAATGGTGTTCAGGTTCAGAACCTGGCATTCCCCAAGAACCTCTCCGACCCCTTCCTCGAGCAATGGGAGAAATCGCCACGAAATCCCATCATGACCCCTCCCCAGGGCGTTGCTGGGGACAGTTTTAGAGATCCAACCACGGCCTGGCGGGATCCTGATGGGAAATGGAATGTGATTGTTGGTGGCCTGATCAATAACGAAGGGATTGCATTTCTGTATCAGAGTGAGGATTTTGTTACCTGGACTAAAGTTGAGCACCCTCTCTATTCATCCCCAGGGACTGGGATGTGGGAATGTCTTGATTTTTTCCCTGTGTTTGTTAATAGTAGCAATGGGGTTGATACTTCGGTTGTAGATCGAAGCGTGAAGCATGTGTTGAAGATCAGCTCATTCAGTAATTTGCATGATTACTATGTGCTAGGCACTTATGCTCCTGAAACTAGTAAATATATTCCAGACAATGAATACACAGGTGAAAGTACAGATTTGAGGTATGACTATGGGAAGCTTTATGCTTCAAAGACTTTCTTCGATGAACCGAACAGCAGGAGAATCCTGTGGGGATGGGCAAATGAGTCTGACCCCATGGAAGATGACATTGCCAAGGGATGGGCTGGAGTTCAGGTGAGTTCTGCACCAGGCCTTTCGTTTCCTTACAATACCTTCTGGATTTTAACTTGGCTTCTTCTTGACTATAAATAAAAGAAACCATCAGGTTTTCTAACATGGACTCTGGGACTCCTACATTGCAGACAATACCAAGGGAAATATGGCTTCACAGTAGTGGAAAGCAACTGGTCCAGTGGCCAGTGGAAGAGTTGAACAAATTACGCGGCCAGCATGTACAAGTCTTGGACGAAAAGCTGCATAGTCGATCAGTGTTTGAAGTTGAAGGCATCACTGCTTCACAGGCTGATATAGAGATTGAGTTTGAACTGCACAACCTAGAAGACTCAGCTGAGTTCTTCGATACTACTGCGAACGATCCCCAGCAACTCTGTAGCGATTCGAATGCATCATTTCGTGACGGAGTTGGTCCATTTGGCTTGTTGGCTTTAGCAACAAAAGAGCTGAATGAACACACTGCAATCTACTTTCGGATCTTCAAAGGCAGCAATGGATTCGTGGTGCTCATGTGCAGTGATCAAAGAAGGTATATAATATCATACAATTTACTTACCTCCTTTTATACTGTAACTATGTAACATAAGAAACCCCATCATAAATCTCTGAATTTCTGCCTGCCAAAATTCCAGGTCTTCTCTAAAAGACGGGATGGATAAAACCCCTTATGGAGCTTTTCTGGACATAGATCCTCAACACGAAAAGATTGCATTGCGAACACTGGTGAGTTTACATAAAGACTGTTATGCTATAAACCCAAGTTCCAGTTCGAAATTTTGGAGATGATTTACGTCGAATGTCGCTATTGCTGCTGCTGTATATGTTGCAGATTGATCATTCGATTGTTGAGAGCTTTGGCGGGGGAGGGAAGACTTGCATCAGCAGCAGAGTTTATCCTAAGCTGGCTATTAACTCAGAAGCTCGACTGTTTGTGTTCAACAATGGGACGGTGGATGTAACGATCTCAAGCTTGAATGCTTGGAGCATGAACACTGCCCAGATGAATCGCGGAAGAGAAAGCTACGCGGAGCTGGACGACTAATGATCACCGTATAGAACCATGGGAGCTGGAAGTCTCATAGCAGGGCCTTAGTAGCCCACAGTGATGTGTACATCTGCATTTGCTACTTTGTGTTCATAAAATAAAGCAAATCGTTGTTGTCCAATTTGATGGTTGTTGTATGCAAGATTGCAGGGTTGTTTTCTTTTTCCCTTTTGCTTCTATGTGTCCATATGATGTCTTCATTCTCTACAAGTCTTTGCGATAATAAATTGAGATGTCATGTGTTTGAACAAAATTTTGCAAAAACTCCTATAATTCAATTGAAAGGAATTCTATATCTTTGGACGCGATTCACATCAACATATGCCTCATTCAAATAATGCAAAATCGAAGGTGAGAATCAATAAACTAAACAAGAAGATGAGGGTCGTTTGGATGTGGTAATTTAGTGTGGTAATTGGGCTCAATTTCCATAATATGCAGTAATTGGGTTCAATTACCATGTTTGGTTGTAAAAAAAAATCATGAAAATTGAATAATGGAATTTGGGCCAATTACCACAAATGTGGAAATCCAAAATACAACCCCCCACCCCCCGCATTTCCAATTCCCACATTTCCAATTCCCACGTTTAAAGACTTTTTATTTCCAAGTGGGCCCCTGCTCTTTTACATAAATCCAAGATTAACCCTTTCTTATTTCAAGGGCTATTTGCTCCGTTCGTGTTTTCTATCTTCTTCTTTTTGATTCGTCCTTGCAACTGATACAAAGATAAGCAAAAATCTCCTCCGATCAGCAATCAGTTAGGACTTAGGAAGCGAGTTTGAGCCTTTGCTCGTCGACAAAATGATGGTGGTCAATGATTCTGAAGAAGTGAACGCTCTTCTAATTAGCAATCATGGAGGCATAAGTTTTGGTATGCTCCCCGAAACTTGGATCTGACTGGCGATGCAAATGAATTTGCAAGCAATTGAAGTCTTTGATCTCTGATCCCCATTTCGTTCATCATTTTGTTTGTCGACGTCGTATCGAACATCTCTGACATTCTTTTTTTTCCCGAGTTTGTTGATCTCCTCCCTTGATGCCCCTGATTGGTTCCTTTAGTCAGATCTGATTCCAAACAAGTCTCAAAATGTCGCGAGAGAGTTTCATCTTTTAATTGTTATCCTTCCTAATCTATGGTTTTGTACAGTTTATCATATGAAGTTGCAAGAGAGTTATATAAAATGTAAATTGCATAACTAAATGTTGTGGCTGCGTTGAGTGGTATACTCTATTGCTAAAAAAATATCAACATGTATAACTAATGAAGGAGGGTATTTTTGTATTTCCTTAAAATTCCACACTGCCAATTTCAACAAAATGGAAACCTTTCCAAATGTGGTAATTGAGACAAATTCCTACGTTTTCAAATTTCCACATCCAAACGACCCCGAAATTATCATAAGTGAAATATAGTTTTGGATGCTTTTAAAGATTTGGGCACTAAAAGATAATTACAAATTTTAGATTAGATGGAAAATTAGACGAATATATCTTTTTATGACCTTAATGAAACGTCCTAATCAAAATTAAGAGGTATGTCTACCCCAATTCTCAAATTTAAATGTCATTCAATGTATTTCCGAATTGCAAAATTGTCAACTCTTACCAAATAGATTAAAAAATGGGAAACGTCGCCGTATCATTACCGTGTGGTTTCCGTCACCTAGTGGCAAATTCCGTATGAGCAATTTACCACTGCCGAAACTTCCGTCTCTCAAGTCTCAACCCACACGACATCATTGACCTCAGCTTTCCCAAAGCGCCTGAGCGGAAAACATGACGTTCGTGGCCGTGGCCGTGAACGGAGGCGAAGGCATCGGAGGAAGAGGAAGCAGACGCGCACTCCGTTGGGCCGTCGAGAATTGCCTGCCGGCCGCCGACCGGTTCGCCTTAGTCCACGTCATGCCATTCGTCACTTCCGTCCCCACTCCATGTATAGCTCCTCTCTTCTCTTCCCTTCTCTTCTCCATCGTCCTTCTCATCCCTTCGAATCAGCTAGTGAAATTCAGACGCTATTCGATGAAATTGTATGAAGTCAAATCAAGTCAACGCAGAAGAGAGAAAAAAATTGGGAGCGGAATTTTCGTTTGATGTCGTAACGTACTTGAAAAAAACGGAAATTCCGGTTGTTTATTTTAACTTCCGGTGGCGAATTGTGTTTGCTCTAAACAGCCGGCGATCGGATTCCGGTAGAAGAGCTGGACGGGAAAGTGGTGGCGCTATACTTGCAGGAAGTGAGAAAGGAAGTTGAAGAAATTTTCGTGCCGTTTGTGAGGGTCTGCAGAGAACGAGCGGCGAAGAACGTGAAGGTTCGTATAATTTTGATGGGGTTTCTTCTTCCCTTTTGAAACCAACGGCTGAATTCAGCCATCGTAGTGTGATTTGGTTGATAAATTTTTGTAATTTTCGTGGCTAGGTTGAGACCTTGGTACTGGAGGATGACAACCCAGCGGCTGCCCTGGTGAGATGTGCAACTCAATTGGGGATCACTACTTTGGTGATGGGTTCTTGTTCTGCTAGTTGCTTACTGAGGTTTGGCTTCCATTTCTACCCTATGTGAGGATTGGACTAAGCAAACATTTGCAGCATAGATAGTCTGTGCTAGTTTCTGCAGTTCTGGTTGCATGTTATGCGATTTCATGGAGTTTTATGGGCTGATGAGTTCATTCTCTCATTATTCACCCTTAACATAATCGGATTCGGACCTATGTTTTCTGTAAGTACTGAATTGCTGCCATTTTAATAGGCGAAAGCAAGCTGGCTTGCCTGCAAATGTGTACAAGTCTGCTCCTGTGGCGTGCAACGTGCATGTGGTACACAGAACTAAGGTGAAGACAAAGTTAGCTACTTCCTCTATCATCGCTGGTATGTTGGGTGCTGTCAGTTATTTATCCAACAAGTAATCATTCTCTGTATGTTCTTCATTTTCATGCAAATATCTTCTGGTTTACAGATATCAGCTCTAGATGTGAGGTAGTTGGAGAAAATGACTACAAGAAGTTGCTGACTGGTATTGATAACCAAGCTTCGGAGGTCCCCTCTTTCTCTAGAGATTCTAAAGCTGTGACATGCTTTGATTCTTCATCGGTGTCAGATCTTTGTTGGGCAGATATTCAAGCATTAGAAAATGCACCCAACCCTTTTCATGGCAGTTTATGTATGGAAGGAATGGGGGATACACTGGAATACAATGTGCTATCCTCAAGCGTCGACAAGTGCTGTTCTACATCATCATCTAAACGTGCCCAGGTGAATGGCTGTATATGTGTCAACAATGTCTCTCGTCTGTAGAAAACTTAGTAATTGGTAGTTACTCGCTAGTATTGAATCATGGTTTCACCGCCTTTTGTTACAGTCATATGTGTACGATGAGGTAGAGAAACTGCGGCAGGAGTTACGGACTACAATAGCCATGTATAAACAAGCCTGTGAGGAGCTAATTCACACGCAGAACAAGGTTTTGCTCTGATGATTTTGCTTTTTCACTTTTTAATCCTGTTATGCTTGTCATGTGCTTTCTGTTTGTGCCAAGTAGACCTGATTTGGGAGAAGCTGGTCCACCTGACCCACAGAACAAGTAGTCATTCTCTGGTTGAGTTATTAAATAGTTTTAACCATTCCTTATTGAATTAGTTACAAACCTAAACACACTGAAAAGTTCCATGACAACTATAGACAGTTATGGAGAATTCAGAATTAGCTTTAGAGGTTCAGTGTGTTCGGTAGGTCAAGTTAAGAACAATGTGATGCCTAACATCAATGACGGCTTAACTGTAGGTGGAGTTGCTATCTTCTGAGTGTATTGAGGAATCGAGAAGAGTGATGGATGCCCATGAAAGAGAAGAAACTTTGCAGAAGATTGCTGCTGAAGAGAAAGCAAGATGTGCCAATGCAATGGACGAGGTTGACAAGGCCAAGGAGTTGCTTGCCAATGAGGTTTATGAAAGGCAAGTTGCAGAGTTGAAAGCCAATAAAGAATCCTCAGGAAAACAGAGAATTGTAGATAAGATGTTTGCAAGTGATGCAAGGTGCAAAAAGTACACAAAGGATGAGATAGAAGTAGCAACAGAGTTCTTTGCTGAAGATAAAGTGATTGGTGAGGGAGGGTATGGGAAAGTTTACAAATGCAGCGTTGATCATACCCCAGTAGCTATTAAGGTTCTTCAGCGAGATGCCCTGGGCAAGAAAGAGGAATTTCTACGAGAGGTAGTTCTCTTCTGCATGCAGAGACTAATAAAAGTTGTTCATTACTTCTGACATTCATATATTTTAAAATGAAAAAAATTGTGTTTCATTGATTGCACAAGTTAATGATCAAGAAAAAGGATGTAACTAAGTACTGGATCAGGTAGGTAGCTCTGAGAAATTCATCTGGTTATGTTTCATAGTTAGAACTGCACCGAATACTTTGATACAATGGAGCTCAAATTAACTTAGCTAGTAGCTTTGTTTTTGTGTGTGTCAATGCTGTGTTGCATATTTATTTGCCTCTGCTTCTCAACATAATAGTTACTGATCACTATTCTCTTCCAATTCTTCACAGGTACAAGTTCTAAGCCAATTACGCCATCCAAATCTCGTCCTGTTGCTTGGGGCATGCACTGAGAGTGGTTGCCTAGTCTATGAGTACTTGGAAAATGGAAGCTTGGAAGATTGCCTCTTGAACCATAGTGGGAAAACTCTTCTTCCTTGGTTCGTTCGTTTCAAGATCGTCTTTGAAATTGCTTGTGGGCTCTCATTCTTGCACAACTCAAAGCCAGAGCCCATTGTCCATCGTGATCTGAAACCAGGGAATATACTTTTAGACAGAAACTACGTGAGCAAGATTGGAGATGTTGGTTTGGCTAAACTCATTACTGAGGTTGTCCCTGACAATGTCACCGAGTACAGAGACTCTATGCTTGCCGGTACCCTTTTTTACATGGATCCTGAGTACCAGAGGACGGGGACCATCCGCCCCAAGTCGGATCTCTATGCCTTTGGGATTATAGTTCTCCAGGTGCTGACCGGCCGCCGCCCAAATGGACTTCTGGTGCGTGTGGAAGAAGCAGTTAGGAGTGGCACCTTGGCCAACATTCTGGATCCATCCATTGCAGATTGGCCACTTGATGAAGCTAAGGAGCTTGCCCAAATTGCTCTGAACTGTGTAAAGCTTCGCTGCAGAGATAGGCCAGATCTTGATACTGAAGTACTGCCAGTTCTTAGAAGACTCAGCGAAGTAGCAGATGCTAGCATGAAGACAGAGAGAGGCAGCATCTATGCACCAAGCTACTATTTTTGTCCAATCCTTAAGGTATGTAAGCAAAGCAGACACTTTTTAAGTCTACTTTTTCCAGAGATGAAACAAACACAGCCTCTTAATTTAACAAGGGTCTTCATACTAGAAAAGCTTATCTGCCTTGTAATTGTTTCTTCGTACCAATGCAGGAAGTAATGGATGATCCTCACATCGCTGCTGATGGTTTTACCTACGAAAAAATAGCCATCAAGACATGGCTGGAGAGGCACAACATTTCTCCAGTGACAAAGCTTCGACTCCAACATTCTGACTTGACCCCAAATCACATGTTACGCTCCGCGATTCGTGAATGGATGTCTCGGGTGAATTCTCAATAGCTTTTCAAAGCATCACTAATCTTGTATCATCAAAAAGGTTGCTGCCCAAGTTTCTCCCCTGTAACTCATCTTCCTTTAGAAGTCGATGATGGCCGTTTGTCAGCAGTACTGTACAGCATATGGTACACTCAGAGCGAATTGAGAAAACGAAACTGGTTACAGAAAGTTGTAATTCATAACATAAGAAACCAGCATATACACAAAGATATAGGAAACAAGACAGGTGCATATATTTGAAGGGAAGTGTTACTCTGTACAGTGCTGTAATTCATCTACTCTTGCATATATTCGGATACTGCATGAAAAATTTTAATGCCATTGTGAGCTGAAGCTGTAGGGAGTCAATCGACTTGAGTGAACTCCAGCGCATTCGCATCCGGGTCGCGAGTGAAGATTGCAGGCCTCCCGGACCGGCTAAGTGTGTAGGGATGTCCTGCAAGAACATACAACAACCTGACCTCAGGCCACAAGCCTTAATGCAAACTGAAGAAGGTTGATCAGAAAAGAAAAATGGGAACTGTAAGGCTACCCGCTTCGTCGAGGATCTCTTTGAGCTTGGAGACATCTCGAATGGCGAGGCAAGCATGGCGGTCGCGGCCACCATGTTCAGGGCGTCCGGTTAAAGGGTCCGGATTGGGGAGCTCCATCAGATGGATCATCTCGGCGCCCACCCACAACCAAGCTCCTCTGTACGGAAGCTTGTCGTGAGGCCTTGCCTCGTTTATCTCAAGACCCAACATCCCCTGGTAGAACTCGAGCGACGTTTCGAGGTTGTCGCAGAGGATTCCGACGTGGTGAACTCCGACGACTCCATAATCTGCACAAAAATGGAGCAGAATGGTAAAGAAATAAACATGGTAGTATATTATGTCTGTCGACAGTGGGCTGGTTACCGATCTTGGGATTGGTTGTGGCGGTGATTGATTCTTGTTTGTCGACGGCAGCGGCATTTGGTTGAGAAGATAGGTTGGGTCTTGTTCTTCTGAATCGGCCACCGGCGGTGGGTTTCAAATTTGAGGAGAGAGGAAGAAGGGAACAGGGTTGACGGCGGAGGTTGGCGGGGACGGCGGTGGATGATGGGGTGAGTGGAAGAGAAGCCATGGCAGCGGGGAGAAGGGACGGGGATTAGCTGCGGTTGATTTAGAATGGGAACTTGTTTTCCATGCTCTGTTCTTGTTCCAAGGTGATATTCTCATTTCTCATGGCTGCTCCGCTAATTCCAGCGACTCAATTCAGGCCACCAGTTTTTTGGCACTGCGGTCCACCATTCGGTGGTAAAAATTATCCTGAGATATGGGCCTGGAGGTGTGCCGTACGCTTGCTGCAAATTTGGGCCCGGTCAAATAGGTCCGGTCCGACTCCTTACGCTTGTTCTCGGATCCGATAGTAGATAGAGCAACGGTTTCCATCTGATCAGTCCGTGGGGAGAGATGAGATTGTAGGGCTGGCTATTTGATCCGGGTTATTTGGTTTTACCCGAAATTGGATTGTATAACCTGGACCGGGACCGGATAGTAAACAATCCAATCCAATTTTTGGGTTTAGATTTTAGGTAAAAAATCGTTCGAGACCGGATCGAAAACTGGATAAAGACCGGATAAGAGAGCTCAACCCCTAAAACTTAAGGGTAATTTGCATAAACGGTCACAAACCTTTGCACTTAGTACAAAACTTAACCAACTCCTCATCCTTTTAGGCCTTAGGCCACTCAAATCCCCACAAGCTCAATATAAAATCAAGACCGAATTGGGACCGGACCAGATCAAGACCGGACTGTATCCAATCCAATCTTTGGTCCTTATATTTTCAAAAAGACCGGACTGGACCGGATCAATTTGGGCCAATTTAACCGGACCGGACCGTATAGCCACCCCTATGAGATTGCGCTGATGTTGGAGGGCATTTCTTTAGCGAATCAAGTCTCTTCTAACTTTAGGTGACAAAACACCTAATTCACTTTTTTTATTAACATCATATTTGTGTCATTAATGCTATATTTGCGTTATTCATGTAAAAGTGTTGATTATTCACGCAACTAAGACTGTTAGGTCACGCAACCTGATGTTTACTCACTCATATTGTTATTTATTGATGTCGTTGTAAAATTAAATTTTAAATTTTGAAATATATCAAAATGGATGTCATTGTGTAGATTATGATTAATGCAACATATTTTTACAGATTAATTGAGAATTCAAATTTAATTTCATTAAATATATCCAATACAAATTATTAGGGGGAAATTATTTTATTTTTCATTTACATGAATAACTTACACTCTTACATGAATAACCATAGTATTACATGAATAAGCACCAAATGTGTGAATGAGCAAAAAAAATACGTGAAAAAGTTGCCCTTAGGTGTTTTGTCAGTTAACGTGACAAGAGATTTTTTCCCTTCTTTAGCTCGCTCGAGTGGTTGTATATCTTTACGGGTTTAGCATGTAGGTCTGTCAAGAATTTGGATGGAAGAAATTGAATTGAAAGCGTGAATGAATCACTCTTTTTAGAGTGTTATTTGTTTCGATTACAAATTATTGGTAGGAATCGAGCAAATTATTATCACTTGAGTCCCTTCAATCTAAATATGGAAGAAGTAATGTTGCAGACTTCTGTGTCTGCGAATTTGATAAGGAAACTTGGAAGAAGAAGAACTCATGGGAAAAGAGTTCTGGCAGCAATTTCATAATTGTGAAAGATGAAAGAGTGCTAATAGCATAGTGTAATTTAATGTGTAATTAAATTACGAATCAAGGGATTGGTCTAGTGGTAATACTATTAGTTTTGAATATGAAGATCATAGGTTCGAATTCTTTAAGTAGTACCTAACTATAAAAAGTAAACATATATCACCCTTAACTATAAAAAAAAATATGTCTAATTAAATTGCACACTTTTCACAAAATCCCACTATCCCCGTTATTCAATAAAGTAAAGCGGAAGAGACATATAAACCACTTGCACTTTTCTTCTCCCATCAATATGATTCTATTGACTAACTCTAACAATGCCCTAAAAAGTGACCTTAGAACATCCACAGTGTGGGTTAGTAAAATGAGAAAAATGGGAAATGTTTCCACAGTGTGGAGGAAAGAGGGAAAAAATGGAAAATGTGGGTGAGAATACCCACCACTAACAGACAAATGGTGGGGGAAGGTAGGGCTGGGAATTCGGTCCCGGTTTTCCGGTCAAACCGAAAACCGGTCAGTTAAAACCATTTCGGTTGCAACCGGAAACCGGATACCCATTAACCCAATCCAGTTTACAGTTTGGGTGTCTGTATGGCCGGTCCGATCCGGTTAAAACCGGAAAAACCGGATTGTAAAAATAAAACTATCCTAGCCAGCCCAGCCTGCCTAATGCCTCGCCAGCCCATTCCCAGCCCAGTCCCAGCCCACACCCAAGCCCAGTCCCAGCCCACTCTAAACCCCCCTAACCCTAACCCAATTAAAATTTCCCCACTTTCCTCTCAATCTCCAATTCCCTTCCCATCCCACTCCCAGCGGCAGACTCTTTCTCTATCTCACCATCTCTCTTCCTATCCCAAATCCCCTCACACAAACACCCACAACTCCAACTCCATCTCTCCAGCCTCACCCTCAACTCACGGCGGCACCTCACGGAGGCACCTCACGGCGACGATGAAGCAAACGCGGCGACGATGACCATCCTCTCCACTCGCCGCCTCCCTACTCGGCGAATCGCCGCCTTTCCCACCCAACTCCCTCGTTGGTTTGTAAATCGTCATCTTCTCCTCTCTGCATGCCGAGGCAGATCTGGGCAACGGAGATGGTGATGCTCACAACGCAGGCAAAAGACAGTTCCGACATAGCGGGTGGGCAACCTGCTTGCCTCATCGGAGAAGAAGACTTTCCCAGCCGCTAGCGTTTTTAGAGGGATTAATCACAATTCGGTTTTTGGGTTGAAACCGGACCGGATCCAATCCGGTCACAGTTAAAACCGGATCCCATCCAATCCCGTCTTCGGTCAGGGGTTTATTCAAAACGGTTGTAAAAAATCGGGTTAATCCGGTCCCAGTTTGACCGGACCGGACTGTTTCCCAGCCCTAGGGGAAGGGAGGGGGAGGGGTCCACTGTTGGGCCCGCACATAATTTTCGTTTTGTTTTTTTTCTAAGTTATTTATTTTAATGGTTTTCTTCTATTGTGAGGTGTTTTGATTGGTTTTCTCCGCAATGGACATAATCAATGACGTTATATTTAATTAGTGATGAAAAAAATTATGTCCAAATTAAAAAAAAATTATATCAAAATGTTCGTATTAATTAATTATCACTTATAACTACGTAAAAATAATGATTATTGTATAAAAATAAAGAAACGAAATCAACTATAGATTGATTTTAACAAAAAATACTAAACCAATTATCCACTTTTCCCACCCAACATTGTGACCAAAACCTCCATTTTCCCACTTTTCCCACCATCGTGCATTGTGGCCTCCATGTGGTATAATATTAAGTAATACCAAGCATTAGCACCATGGAAAACTGATAATAAATGTATAATTTTTTTTCTAAAAAAAGTAAATATAATTTTTGAAGAGTACAATTAGTCTTATTTATATGTGGAAAAAAATTACGACTTAAAAGAAAAGAAAAACAACCCATTAAAATTTTTAGGAAAAATTATTATAGAACATCCCATAATTGGTGATGTGAAGATAATGCGACAGGTTGTGCACAACAAAGTTGTATCCACTCCCACACCAAATAACTGTTAGAGTGTGGTATAAGATCCAACAGAACCCTCTCCCAACAACTCGAGTTATTGGGAGCAACTGGTTCTTGACATGGTATCAGAGCCTCGAACCAAAAGGTCATGTGTTCGAATCTCCACGACCCCCAATATTAACCGTTGTCTTTCAAGCACATGGTATGGTGGGCCTGTGCAAACTTCAAGCCCATGGGTTGGCTTTCGTTTGAGGGGGCGTGTTAGAGTGTGGTATAAGATCCAACAGAACCCTCTCCCAACAACTCGAGTTATTGGGAGTTTGAGGGGGCGTGTTAGAGTGTGGTATAAGATCCAACAGAACCCTCTCCCAACAACTCGAGTTATTGGGAGCAACTGGTTCTTGACAATAACACCCAAACCAAATCTCGATCCCAAAACGCAAAGACACCACTAGTCAACAAAATGAGGCCTGCTACTCGTTCGGAAGCTGGTAGCTAAAGCCTTCCTTCTGCTCTTCGTGCGACACGAGGTTGACTTCAGTTTTGCTTCTTCCCCCTCCCATCTCTCTCCTCTGCAATGTGCTTGATCGGCGGATTGATCGTAGTATTCCCTGATAACGCGTTTGTTGGTTGCCGCTATGGTCGTCGTCTTACGGATTGCTGTACTTTGTCAGAACAGTTTTTCCGGCCGTTTGTTTTCTTTTTGATTTCATACTAGTCAATGCGCCAATGTCAATCCTTCTGGATTTTGTCCCTCTGCCTGCAACAACAACATCCAACGAGGATACAAAAAAAAAAAAAAACAAGTGAACCTCCCACTTGATGACTTCCAGAATAATTGTTTTTATCAACCGCAAACCTGAGTCTCCCAAAGCAAGAGTATTACGGCAATTTTTTTTTTGTGCTGTCACCGAGTAGTGAATTAGTAAGAAGAAGAAGAAAAAAACACTCAAGTTGGACCATGGTTACATATATATTATTACACACGGTTAATATCACAAATTGTCTTTGTATTCTCTACTACGGAATATATGTATATTCACGTTTTTAAAAATCTCGTGCTAAATTGGATTCTCATTTATCCCTTGCTAACTAAGGCCCTAGGCAAGTAGATCCCTTTCGCGAAGAATACTTTGCCTCTCTTCGAGACGGATTGGAACCCAATTTAGACTCAACGATGAAAGATTGTTAAAGAGAGTATCATACTTTCCCAGGTTGACTCATAGGCTGGCGGTATAATTAAGGCTTTCACGTGTGTTTAATAAAGATAGAAGAAACTGGCAAGACTCTGAAAAATGAGTGTAAAAATAGACACGAGTCATCCACAAAGAAGATATAAGAGACAGGTGGCGTAATTCCCTAATCTGAATATTTAACTGAAAATGCTGGAGAAATTATGCCAAAAAAAAAAACCTTCGGTGCATATTGCTAAAGTTAGCGTAGAAAGAGAATCTAGGACTTGAGAAATAACACAGGGAGTATCATTGATTGTAACCCAAAGGAGACACTATCTTTGTACATACGCGGATCTAATATATAAAGCGTC